TAAATTATTATTTCGCAAATATGCAGGATTCCTCACGATGTGTTCCTTCACTCAGCAAGAGTTAATTCAGCACTTAAAATTGACAATTTTGTTGGTGTTGGCACTGGATCGAAATCAGGTTGTTCGAGTATATTAAATTAAAGGCGAGCGCCGGGACACTGAGCTAACACGGGTCAGTTTAAAGTTTTCTTTAGTGGATCAGAAAAGTTTAGTTCTAGTTTGTTAAATATTTTTTCTTTAATTAGCTAAGCCGTTCTACTAAAATAAACAAATTACATACACAATACGTACGAAGTAACTTGGACAGGCATCTTCAAGTCAAATTGTTTATGAGCGTTCTAAGTTCGTTCTTTTTTGAATCTCCATTATACATAGAGTTTCACTGCATATTATAAATCAAATATTTAGGTTATTTTTTTACAACTACATAAGGTAGTGTAATGAAGTCGTGGAAGCATATTTTGGCAGACTATCCACACAAAATCCCTGCGTAATTTTGACGAGCGATAGGATATAGGTTTAATTTGCGTACGTCTTCTAAAATTTCAAAATATGTCTTCCGATATAAAAATATGTTTACAGTGGTAGTTATATACAATTTCGGATATGCTAATTGTAAGCCATAAAAGGGGCCAGTCGCAGTAATATATAGCACATATATTACCGCGACTGGCCCTTTTTAGTTACTGAGTAATTTCACAATAAACACACTTCCAAATTCTAAAGTGTAGGTATAGCGTATCAATCAATCAATCAATCAACAATCTTTATTCAAATAGACGCTTGCGCGTTCTTATGAATCGTCAAATTTTACATAAAACATTATACATAGAGGTTCGTAAGATACCACCGGTTCCGAAAGCAGTTTCTGTTGAGAAGAGACCGGCAAGAAACTCAACAGTTGCTCTTTTAGTAAATCTCTTTGTAAAATACCGGTATAATAGTCTTATTCTACCCTACGTGAGTATCAACAGTATTAACTCCACACATTGGCGTCGTGGAGATATTCCGCAATAGTGTAATATGCTTTAACCATAAGTTTACTTTTGATTTTACGTTTAAATTGATCAAGCGGCAGACTTAATATCGACTGTAGGATTTTATTATACATGCGCACACCTTGCCCCATGAACGATCTATTTACTTTTTGTAGGCGAAACAGTGGCGTAGTAAGTTTGTCCTTATTTCTAGTGTTTAATTTATGTCTGTCACTATTCTTTAGGTAAAAACTAAGGTTATGACGAATATATAAAAGATTACAATAAATGTATTGAGAAGCAACAGTGAGTATATTAATCTCTTTAAAAATATGTCTGAGTGAACTCCGGGCTCCGATATGATAGATTGCTCGGAAATATAGAATTCAAATCGGATGCACTACCCCACAACAAAATGCCGTATGACAAGATGCTATGAAAATAGCTGAAGTAAACAAGTCTGGCAGTGTCAATATCTGTTAGCTGCCTAACCCTTCTAATCGCAAAAACCGCGGAGCTTAGCCTATTCGCAAGAGATGATACATGGGGACTCCACTGGAGCTTTGAATCTACTGTAATTCCCAGAAATACAGCAGACTCAACTGGATTAATGGGTACTGATTGGGTATGTATTAATTTAATATTAAATTAAATCTTTGCCGTCTTATACTGGGAAGGGTAAAAAGAACACATCTAGTTTTTTTTGGCATTTAATACCATATTATTAATAGGAGCCGTGATAGCTCTGTGTACTGGCTCGCCTTTATTTCAATATACTCGAGCAACCTGAGTTCGATCCCCAGTGCCGGCAGCAATGAAGTTTTTAACTTTAAGTGCTGTTTTATCACGTGCTCCGCGGTGAAGGAAAACATCGTGAGGAAACCTGCATATTTTCGAAATAATAATAAAAAAAATATTTCGAAGATATGTGAAGTCCGCCAATCCGCAGTGGGGCCGCGTGGTGGACTATGCCCTGATACCCTCTATATAAAGGAGGCCTTTGCCCAGCAGTGGGACATGTATAGGCTATTACTTTACTTTATTAATAGTAAACCAGTGGAGGATATGCGAAAGTGCACTATTCACCTCGTCATAATTTAATACATTTCGGTCAACCTTAAAAATTAACGATGTATCGTCACACAACTCACTGGCATAAAAGGGGAGATCATTAATATATACTAAAAATAATAATGGGCCCAAGATTGATCCTTGTGGGACACATGAAAATGGTTCATATGGGTCCCAGCGGAATTAATATCATTTATTGATACTTTTTGGATTCTATTACTAAGGTTGCAATGAGATTGTGGGCGATGCCACGAATGCTATAATAATCTAGTTTGTGAAGTAGGGTTTTGTGGTCTACGCAGTCGAAAGCTTTTGAAAGGTCACAAAAGACACCTTTTGCATCATGCGACCTTTCCCAGGCATTATAAATATGTTTGACAAGTGCGACACCCGCATGTGTTGTCGATCTGCCTTAAGTGAATCCATATTGCTCATCATGAAAAAATTTATTTATATTAAAATGTACCAATAGTTGGAATTAATTGGAGTTAAAATTAATTTTTCAAAAATTTTACTAAGTGATGGCAATATGGAGATAGGTCTATAGTTGCCTGGATCATTTTCCACACTTTAGTAGACGGGTATTACCTTACTGATTTTCATAAGATCTGGAAATATTCCAGATATTATGAAAATCAGTAGCGCAATATATGGCATTATTGTGGTCGAAATATATCGCTCGACACTGACTGTACAATTTATATTTTTTATTTAATCTGCGCTTGATGCCCGCCACAGAATTTCCGGGAATTATTTCCCGGAAATGAAGTTCCAATCATTGCTTTGCAATGTCTTTCAAGCGTGACCTAATAATTATGTACACAGAGGAATCTAAGAAAGTTTAATAGCAATTTTCTATAACCTAGTAATTGATAACTATTTATTTGATAATATAATGGCTCTATGGCCGTGTGACCACACTGATGTAAAGAAACCTCTTTGCATCAGTGCCGGGGGTCATTGGTTCGATTTTTACACAGGGCTCAAATTAATGTTTTAACCTTGGTGATAAAATAAGTAAATGATAGCTGACAACGAAAATATGATATGTTTTACTGGCGACCAAGTCAATGATTGGATCGTAGAATTTGTATTAACTGTTATTAATTTAAATTCAAAATAGTTTTCATGCCTATTTAATCGCATGCTTGATTTTTTTTTTCAAATAATAGCGTTTTTACAAGTCAAATAACACCTGTGTTTTTCCGAATTCGCCAGAAGGAGGGTTATCTTTTTCGATTATGTATGTATGTATAATTGTTTGGCACGCTCTGCAGCCTGAACGGCTTGATGGATTTTAGCTTGAGAGGTGTCGTTAGATTCGTATTTACTGTGGGAGTGACACTGGGTATATCAAAATAAAAAAAAAATTACACAGAAACGTAGTCGGGTTTTTTAGTTTTTTAAATTATATTCTACTATACAGCCTTTCTGATATCGTATCAACTTATTTAACTCAAGTTCTGTTTAGTTTAGTTCAGCTGTTATTGTGTGACCACCAGACCTAAGTTTTATAAGTATTTATATTGTTGTAATTAAAAAATGCAAGTTATGCTATTTCTGTAAATTAAAGGCCTCATTTATGATATTTTGATATATGATATTCGATATATGATATTTTATTGTGTTAAAATATTAATTACAAATAATTGTTAAACAATTATTGTTAAATTATTTCTTTAATTAATTAAATATTTATCTATAATTTAAATTTTAACACGATAAAATGTCATTTAGTTACCAATAACCTTATTTAATTGTTATTTTATTGTCCTCACGCGATTGCACATTAGAAAAGAAATTACAAATTACGTGTACGAGTTTGTCTATAATTGTTAGCTCTCGAACACCTCGAAACCTAAGTAAAAGTTTATAGTTTAAAACACAACAGATCAAACAAGTCTGCAGCCTGTGAGCACACTTCAAATCACCCCAATCATTATATTTGATGTGAAAAATAACAAATCCTTGCAAAATAGTACCAACTCCTTCCAAGGATAATTCACGAAGCAATTGTAAAAGCACCCTAAATTCAACAGAGAAGAGGTTTGGCTCCTACCGAGCTTGGAATCCTACCATTAATAAAATGAAATCTAGGCCCAAAAGGACCACTACTGCAAGACGAGACAAAGTTAGCACCTTCTGCATAGATCGACACAAAACTAATAATTTTAATAGTCATAACATTCAGACGTCCGACGCCTCAGTTTGTCCCGTGACCATGAGAGCTGAAGAGGGTTAGAAAGGTCGGGAAATATAACTTGAAATTCGTATAATTGACTTAACATGAATAAAATGAAACTAGTTTACGGATTTTATCGCGTCTTTTTATTTTGATTTGAACTCCCGACGGGGTGAACTATGACATCAAGACGTATAACAACTTAGTCCGTCCCGTGACCATGAACGCTGGAAAGGGTTCGAAGCGCCGGGAGTTCAAATCAAAATAAAAAACGCGATAAAATCCGCAAATTAGTTTCATTTAATATGTATAATATTCGCGTAGAATCAAGAAAACAATATGTTCACATGAATTGTTAAATTTGTCTAAAAACAGCACCACACACTGAGCCTGTTCACATATTGTCACTATAGGAACGCTAATTCTTATTCTTAGTTTCTATTTTTGTTTTAAGTACCATGTGATTATTGCTCACAGTCATCCGACTATGCATTGCGTAAAATTACAATTCGCTAGACCGCTTGCCTCGTAGTCAATCAAGGCTACTCCGCGCAAGGTCACAGATTTTTAGATAAATCACACTAACTGTGCAATCAGAGCGAGTTCTTTACAACAATTCCTCGGTACTATAACTAGATTTCATTTATTTGTGTAGGGTTTCGTTTTTTTTTAAGAAGACATTACTTGACGAAAAGAGCTATATTTTGCAACAAATGCAATTAATGACTTATTATGATATTGCATCAAAATAAAATGGTATTAATTTAGAAATGACGTTCGCACGTAGATGTGGTGTTGTTTCGTTGATGTTGTATTTCATATCATGGTTGCAGTTTAGTGTATGCGGTAGGTGAGTCTGAAAATTATCCTTAAGACTTTCTCCCGACAACTAATTTCATACAGTGATGGGTAATTAAGTTTTATTGTAACACAGCAAACTCATCTTATAATTACACGCAACTTATTTGTGCGGATCGCTTTGAATCGAACAAACACAGTGTTAGTTGACATACCCAAGGCAGTGGACATCGTAATAAGGTTTTAAGTTTTTTTTTTAAATAACAAAATATTTTTCAGCGCTACATACTGTTCGTTTCTGTAAGAAAAATGAGAGAAGAACGATAAAATTAATTCTACTATTCTGTGATTTTTCATTCAGAAGATTGTTTGCTAAATGCAAGCTAAGCAACCTAGCAAAAGCTAAGCTATGAACACTGTTTAGGTTTAACATTTTTTGTAGCACAAATTTTAATTTGTTATGGCATAAATTTTCTTTTGTCAACGATTCTGGCTTGGTTGGAGACCTATAAGTTAAAATTAATTTCGTTTATATGGAGTTTCAGATAACTGTTTATTTTCTTGAATTCAATTTAATACAGGGCTTTGGTAGAAAATTAGCAGTTTTGTTTATCTTTGCGAGCCCGTACTTCACTTTTAATATTATAGTATGTTTGAGACTCCGAATGTTTCATCTCGTTATCTTCAATGGCACATCACAACGAGCCGATTGCTGTGCTACTATCTAATAAGCGCTTGGCCTGCTACTTCGTTCGCGAAAATTGTGATAGCTCGGCTAATTTGCGTGATATAAATACAATTTATTTCACCCGCGTGGTATCCGTTTTCGTGAGACTTATCATCATCATCATCAGCCGCAAGTCGTCCACTGTTGAACATAGGCCTCCCACCTAGAGAAACGGGAAAAAATAGATGACTCCGTGGCTCAGTTGCCAAGGTATTGGCTTCGGCGTCGGGGGTCATGAGTTCGATTCCCACACGGGACAACTATTTGTGCGACCCACAGATAGTTGTTTCGCATCTGGGTGTTTATCCACGTGAAATTTATGTTTGTAAAACGTCCCTACAACACAGGATAATGTTACCTAAGTTAAAAAAAATAAGGATCGTGAAATTACCCCGTAACCCTCACGATCTAAAATGTAGCTTACAAGTAAACAAACATGAGTACTATAAGCATACTTGTAGAACAATATTTTATATATCGTTAATAGTTTTCACAACCCAAGCAATATAATGTCTTACAGGCAACGTTTTGATACCGTGGGTTACGTTGTTCCATTCTAGGTTCTCTATTTTTTTTGAAAATATAATATACCCTATGTTACTCGGTAAATATGTAGATTTATAATGGTGAAAAAGTTTTTAAAATTGGCGGAGTAGTTTTTGATTTAAATCGTAACATAAAAACAAACAAAAAAAATCAAATCTTTCCTCTTTATAATACTAATAAAATATATACTACTACTAATATTATTTATGACAACGCCTACATGTGGTAAGACTACAGAGGCACTTTCCAATTTACCTTTACACGATTCCAAGAATTAAATTCACATGTCTTAAAATATCCGGCGAGGAGTGATAAAAATGCTATAATTCTAATTTAAGTTCCCGCAACGTATCTCTTTAACCATATCTCAAACATCAAATATGTTGAGAGATAACTAGGTAAACTCTGTAAAAATGTCTAGATGATTAACAACATACGTTTTTTTAGTACCGGGATTATTTTAAATAGTCTTTCATACTGGGTTAAATTTACACTAACATTTAATACAAATATGGTGTATGTCTTAGTAGACACAAAGATAATAGAACACAGAACATAGAACACAGATGCAAAGATGTACCAGAAGTTGTTTAGCCGTCTCGTATTTGTATAAGACTCAGTTTTTATACGTACGAATGTTATTTTCATTAAAGCTTTAATTTTTATCCCATGTACATCGACTGCTTGATTGGAATAAGCTTTTTACTTTTTACAATTTATTCATAACTTAATGTATTAAGATAAATTATACAGATTTAAAAAAAAATACATTTCGGTTCATTTTTATAATTCTAAAATTTTCGGACGTCACACAAAGTCTGCTGGGAATTTATTATATTGAATGTTGATTACCTAAAAAAACACGCCGGGGATTTCTATCGCGCAACGGTAACCCTCGCCGTCCAAAGGGCACTGACCCGTCTACAGTGATAAAGCGGGCATGACAAAGCGGTATTCGGCTCCCGTCAACAGTGCGAAATCCCCCATTCGCGTGCGTCCCGTTTTCAAAATTCACGATACCTGTTCGCGCCAGAAGTATTTCAGGACAGATGTTTCGGTGAGTGCAAAGATTTCTTCCATATCATACTTTTTAAGATCATCAAAGGAGCTACCGGGAGCTAAAATTTATTTATCAGACTCGCAATGTAATAAAAGGAGCGACTTAAAATGCGTCCATTAATAACACGCCACAATATGTATATTGGTAGATAAGACGAAAGGAACTTGTAAGCCATTCGAATTTATTCATGATGATCGTTCATGTTTCTCATTACATTGCAGTTATAAAATTAGTTTGGCTTGGTCGAGAGTGTTTGACGCGCTGTGTCGGGATTGACTGTGCATGACCTTGAAACATAAACCAAATATGAGAGGGACAGCCATATCTTTCGCCACGCTTAAAGAGAATTGCGGACGGGTAACAGTTTCAGGCAATAGAACTCTACGAAACAAATTTGCGTAAGCGACGCGAATAAATAAGTAATGAATCATATTGCGTGCTTCGCATATTTCACATTTATGTTATATTTTTTGTAGTTATCGGCTTTCGCATATATTTATTGTATATCGACATATACACTCATTGGTGCCAGTGTTGACTGTTATAGGACGACATTTAATGACTCGATCGGCTATGTCAAATAATTAGGTTTTAAACTTCCCACGTTTCAAATCCTTTCCTAAGGTTCAAAGTCTCGGAACGGACTGAGTTGTTCCACGTCTTAATGCTAGATTTAACTCGGGCTACCGTCAATTTTATTTTATTATTTATTTTTATTCCGATTCACGCAAAAGGAGCTTATGGTATCTTGAGTTCTAGCAGTGTTGGTATGCATGGATTTAACATTATAAATAGGATAAAAGATGAGATCCCAAGCTTTTGATAAACGCCAAACGTCTTCTCCAATGAAATAGTTATAGCCGTTACGTAATCGATAATTATTGAGGAAGTTCCTACGTGCCCTATGCAAGTGTTAAAATCATTGATAGATTGTGGAATCTATATTATGAAAATTACAAACATAAACCAATTGCAGGAAAACAATAATTCGTGATTTTCGGCAAACTTATCTTGTCCCATTTAGACCACGTGTAACTTTAATTGAAATTTTGTGCCATATGAATTACTTTATTTTCCTAATGTTATGTTTACTCGAAATATGAGAGCCTGGCCAAATGAAATACAATTTATAGAATTCTTGAAAAATAATATTAATGATGAAGCCCCACAATTTCCTCAGTTTGATGAAAATATTATCGAAATACCTCAACAATTAATAGGAAATAAAAAAATAAATAATAATGAGGTGTATGAAAATATGTCCAAAAAACATGTTCTCACATAATGTATTGAACTCAGTTATTTTAGCAACTAAAATGATCATTGCACTTCGAATGTATGTCAATATTTACATACATTGATCAAATTTCTGGTCAACCAAGCTCTACTGGGTGACATATTGATGACAATTGTATCGATTATTAGTCGGTAGAGATTTTGAATTCCTTAACTATTAGTGATTTATCACCACATAAATTATTATTAAAAGTTACTTGCGTCGTGTTGCTGATCAGAAGCTTGAATCCAAAGAAAGGAAGCATTAGTCAACGGAACAAGAACGAAATAAAAGAGTCTTGGTTTCACAAAATATAATAAATTTAACTATACCGGGTAAACTATCCTTTGAACTTCAATAAGTAATTAACATCTCGATTTCCAATAATACTGATATAATATTACCGATTTCCAATAATGCGATGAGATTTAATAAGTCTCAAAGATAAACATTTCAAAAATTTGGAGTTTTATTGCAACGGCCAGATTTTACAAATGGAAAATTGTACGTCGTAGCAAGTAGAAATCGAATATACCGCGGTTTCAAATTTTATATTTCCAAATATTATATTTCGGTCAATCATATTTAGCATACGATGAAATATTTTTTTTACTAAAAACATCGTTTACATAGAACTTTTGAATTATCAATTAAATTATCAAACTTTATGTGTCAAATTCAACGGACAACATTTTTAACCGGTTGGTTTTAATAAAAATTAAAAAAGGTATTTTTTATTTCAGTCTTCATTGTAAGTATACATTTGTTTTTTATTTCACTATTATTGATAACTTGCTAATAATAACTAAAAATTTGCTTCAAAATGATACGAAAATTAATTGTGAAGCCTTGGCGAAATTTGTGATTGTATGAATTGAATTGAATGAATTTGTATTGAATTTGTGATGGGTATATAATCTTTGACAATAGAACCTAAATAACGTTCAGACTTAAAATTTAAATGAAATATGGTCGAATTTCGATCACGAGTATTTAAATTAAACTGAAAGCGAATATTGCTGAACGTAAATGAATTAAGGTTTGAAAACATATTTAATAATCCGGTATCGCGCACACTGAAACCATTCATAAAAATAATGAAGTAGTTTTGGTTGTGCGTGTATAAATTTACTCAATAATCTATGCGTGCTTACATTATAGTTGATTTATACTTTGCCTCGTTTATAAAATATACCAATATATACATAGTTCTTAGATGTTTGTACTAGGTTGTGGCAAATTTATAGCACTTTAAAACTCCCTTATAGTTTTGTTATATTAATCCTTTTGAGACAACAGTAAGCCATTTATAAATGAAGTGTCACTTGTATGATTATAAATATTTTGAACATTTTACGGCTAAAAATTTTCCCCTAATTTATCGAATTTATAAAAGTTGTTTATTTCCCCTCGGAAAGAGCTCGAACCCCTAACAAATCAGTATTACCGGGAACAAATCGATGAAATAAATGGATTGTCGCCATTGTTTCATTTTTAAATTAAAGTTCTAAATAAAAAGGTAACATAACTGGCCAGTTTTTTATGCAATATTATAATAAATAATGTTTTTTTTGTGTTCCGCTAATTGTTTTAATTTGTAAATTGCTAATAATGGGACCACATGGGAAGCTTTCAAATAAAAAAAGAATCATCAAAATCGATTCACTCAGTCGAAAGTAGTAACAAACATAAAAAATACAGTCGAATTGAGAATCTCCTCCTTTTTTGAAGTCGGTTAAAAAACATGAGAAACGGAAAGATAACCCTGATGAAAAAAGTTGTTCAGTTTAGTCAGGTATCTAAAAAAATATACTATGTGTTTGATTTTGTTAATTTTATAACTTATATAATAATTATTTTGAACGAGATTTTGTATCAAGTATCGAAAATGCTAAGAAGCAATTTTTAACTATAATATAATGAAATGGTTGTACACGTGTATCTCGACATATTATAGAGATAAAGGTAATCAAAACAGTAATTTGTAGAACGCCAATAACCGGTACGTTTGAATGATATCAAATAGATTACTGTTTATAAAGCGTAGTTGAATAATACCTGAGCAATTTATTTATTCCTGTAAATATGGCTTATTATAATGTTGTTTTATATATTATGCTTTGAATGTTCTTAGTAATGTTGTAATAACCAATTTCTTTCATTTATTGTTGTATGATTAATCTTTGATAGATAAGGTAAAAATAATTTTAAGCGACGATCCAAAGCTTTTAGCAACTCCGTTAAATTAATTTCTTTTAATGTAATAATCTTAAAAGAGTTTACGTGCCTAATACGTACCACAGTGAAGTATAGTCTGCTTAATACATAGATATCAATTTCGTTGTCAATGGGTTGTCGCCTTTAAATATTTTAATAAAAAATAAAATCTTGAATCCAGTGAACTTCGATGATGTCTCAGCAAAAAGGAAAGCATTTAGTGTAACAAAAAATTTGTGTGGATTAATCATAATTACTATTCGTAATTCTTAAATATTGTACACTGGCTCGCAAAGCAGTGGTATTGTTTATAACACGAAACATGGGTTTCCAATTTAGCAAAATAAATCTTTAGAACACAAAACTGTTAAATGGCACGAGTTAAATCATGAATTATTGCAGTACAATACCAATCATTAAATTCAAGTATCAGCTGTAATTTAAATTTGCCTTATTATGCATTGAAGGGTTATCATAATCTAAAATTTTTTTAATGGGAATAGGAGGCAGACGAGCATGCGGGTCACCTGGTGATAAGCGATCACCGCCGCCCATGGACTTTTGGAACATCGGTCAAACATGGTATTCCTTTTATAGGGTTCCGTATCCAAAGGGTAAAACGGGACCCTATTACTAAGACCCAGCTGTCTGTCTGTTTGTCCGTCTGTCACCAGGCATGATCATGGTAGCTGAAATTTTCACAGGTGATGTATTTCTGTTGCCGCTATAACAAAAAATACTAAAAAAAAATATTAAAAAAACAAAAAATATTAAAAAAATATACTAAAATAAAAAAATATTTATAGGGGTTCACATACAACAAACGCAAGGCGGTTGCTAGGCAACCTATAGGCACTTAACAATCAGTTTATTATAAATATTCATACGGAACCCTTCTTCCGCGAGTCCAACTCGCACTTGGCTGGTTGTCTGCTTTAACGGCAGAATGCAAACATTAATTCAAGTTTTCGAGTTACTTCACGTTGATTTAATTTCCAATTTTGATGGTCACGTATAAATAATTATAAACCATTTTTTTTGTAAAGTGCTTATTAATTATGCTCCAAAGTTTAGGATAATCATTTAGTTTACGGTCTTAAGTTATAACTAGGGGAAGACCAGTCTGTCAGATTAAAAGGTTAGTCCAGTTTTGGCTAGATGAAGTTGATCTTATTGTTTGTTGAATCATCGGGGCTTTTTCAAGACTCGTTTAGGCCTTGCGCTTTTTTCAGAACGATTTCATTACAGTTCCCCACGAAGTATAGTCCTTAACCCCCTGGTTTCAAAACCCAAATCCATAGCAGTATGTCATTGCTTTCAATTTTCGACATGTGGACACGTGCAGTCATTACCTTGAAATCCCTCTTAATAATCGTGTTTCAGAGGTAAGTATCTACTCATATATTTAGTAAATGTAGGATTTATGGACGGGAAACCCAACAGGAACCCCTGTCTCTCTCATCGGATTTTTTATAAACCCAATATATCTCATTACTTGAAGCGAATGGCAACTTGGTAGCATGACTTATGACTTCAACTTTAATACTCCTAGCCGCACGTGAAATACTGTGTCTTGCGCATCAATACCAGCTTCTTCCTTTTGAACGTATCCAACAGCGACTCATAGTCGACTAACTATTAAATGTGTTTAATATCCAGGCTTTCTAAAGTAAGAATATAAATAATGTCACAAATTATTTGCATTTAATGTGGTACCATATACAACAGAGAGGGACCTGAGGAAATTATTTAGATTGACTCCCACTTAAAGATTTTATTATCGCATGGATTTAAATAGACTGAAAAACTTTTTTATTTTAATTGCTTCTTAATAAAATTATCTTAATAAATTGAGACCCGAAATAACCATTACTAGACAACTATAGACAAGATAAAATTTGCTCATTCTGCGTAGCTTGAACACAAGGTTAGTGCTTTTTTTATGGAAAAAGAGGAAAACGGACAGGAGGCTCACCTTTTTTTGTTAACGTGGAGGAAATGCCTGCGCATACCCGCCCTCACGGAGGCAAGAGCGGGTTATGCCGGACTCGCACCGGCTTAAACCCCTACGATGTTCGACCTAGGCGCATATCCACAGAAACGCTTTCGCACACTTCCGCGACCCTACCAGGCCCTGGCCGCCCCAGCAGCCCCTTCTCGGGGAGCAATTCCTCTCTCCTCCAGGTGCGCTGGAACATTTTTGCGCGCATTCCTACTCGGCCCCTTGTTCACGGGCAACGAACTCCCCCGAGTTCATTGACCAGAGGCCATGGGAGCCAGGAGAGCCCGTGCTATTAAGCAGCAAGCCTTCCAGCCCCCAGCGGCGGACCAGGTCTGTAGCTCCGCCGCTCACCACGTTTCGTCCGCGGAGGGTTGGGAGAGCGGCGCATCACAGGAGGCTCACCTGATGGGAAGTGATCACCGCCGCCCATGATCATCTGCAACGCCAGAGAACTTGCAAATGCGTTATTAGCCTTTCAGGAAAGTATATATCCTCTCTTATAATGTCTGCATATATTAATATACTTTTAATTCTCAATTATGAAAATTGTTATAGTTTCATTGTAAATAAGTTATTTGTTACTCGCTCCAAGTATCAATATTAAAAAAAAAAAACCTACAAATTCCTCTTTTCGTTTCAGATCTTTGACGTCATGCTGGCCTTGGAATAAAAAACATTTCGCAAAACAATGTCAACATGCCCGCTCCAGGTTTGCTCATATATATATATTTATATATAAGGACTGCCAACAATAATTGCAACTTAAATAACAGGCTAACAAATAATGGTTATCTGCTTTGCTGGCACTTTACTTACTAAATAAAGGCTCAAAACGCTGAGGCTCACATTCCTGCCAATCTATAGATACGCTTCGTAACCTAGCGCGATAAGAACGCAAGGCATTTTTATTATTCTAACATACAGTAATCAACAAAAATAGTAACAAATTAGGCCGATTCTCAGTTTCCGTGTAGTATCAAATTTACAAAGAAAAATGCCCCAAAAAGAAAAAAACTCAACAGTTTTTGAATCAAAGATTTAAAAGGCAATAATTAATATAGGTTACCTAATAGAAATAAAACTTATTAAGAAAATTTATTTACTGGACTTGGTTTTTAATAAAATGTTACATTAAGTCTATATATATCCATCTATACATGTATGTTATAAATATTTAGTTGATGATTGATGATATTTATATATGTACACAGACTTACATGTAATTTATATGTCTATATTTGCCTACAAATATTGAGGTTTCTTATTTTTACTCTTCGGTTTAGCACCTGTCATCTACTTTTCACCATGACAAGGGTTGACTGGTAGAGAATGCTATTAGGCATTAAGTCCGCCCATTGTACTCTTTGCCTTAGGTGTACAGATGAAATTTAAATAAATAAATGAAGTTTAAAGAAGGATAAACATTTGTTAATTGTGTGTAATAATTGTATAAGGTAAATCGGAGTAATGTTTAATCATTAAATTAAATCAGGGACTAAATTTAGCTCTGGTAAGTTTCTATGAAATCATTTCAATTTATAGTTTTCCAAATTCAACGTCAGAGAAGTTTAAACTTTCCAACTCTAAACTAATTTACTTTGTGGTCAAAATATAGCGCCTTGTATTCCGAGTTTTTACAAACAGATTTCTTGTTTTTACAAACCTGTGCGGAAGTAAAAGGTGAACATTTTATTTAGCCATAGAAGAAACACGAAAAGCGAATAAGTTGACTATAATAAGAACTAATGTTACCAGGAATAATGTCATCAGGTATTACCAGCGTGGCATTATCAACCAGCTATAAAATTTTAATTATAGCTCTCATACCTGTTAACCAGAGGAATGAAGAGAAATAATTATGGGTTTAAATTTTACACGATCTTTGCGCACCTCTTTTACACCATCAACATCCATATACATATGAATATTCCACATACATATATTATAACGTACGTCTTATATGAACATACATTGAACACATCAAACTGAAAAGCAACATGTTTTTACGCTTTGTGGTGGTTAAGGTGTTAGAACGTTTAATATATATAATTATATATACTCGTAATTATAATGAGCGCATATTTTTTTTTATTTTATTTATTTGTTAAGTGAACAATAATAAGTGCTCACAAGAAGTGTTACGCAATAATGGATTCGGCAGTTTTTTTTTTTTTAATCGGCCCATCTATACGAATTAACAATATCATTTAACATTACGCTTCAGTAATTGAAGCGTAATTTACATATCTCGTAAAAGATTAACATAACAAAACATACAATTGTTTTCAATTCCACAATGGCGCCTCTTGCAACGATTGGACGCGACATGACATTGGTACTATATAACAAGATCCAGAGTCTCGGCGTATTACTGTATACTCGATTCCGCAGTCATAATTGCAAGCGGCGTTGCGCAACGATGGCCACGAAAAGTATTTTTCTATTTGTTTTGTTTTTTTGCAGTGTCACCGCGAGCGTCAATGATAGGTATTATCCACGGTACCATCTGGCCCCGACGCACGGATGGATGAACGATCCAAACGGATTCAGTGTGTTCAACGGCGAATACCATTTGTACTACCAATACAACCCCAATAGCAGTCTGGAGCCTGGCATAGCTCACTGGGGTCATGCGAAAAGTAAAGATATGTTTCATTGGGAGCATCTACCCATCGCCATGTACCCAGATGAATGGTACGACAAAACCGGCGTGTTCTCGGGCAGTGCCATCGTTGAGGACGACAAAATATATCTCTTCTACACGGGTAATGTCAACTTTCCCGGACAAACTCCCGATCACATGCAACACCAAGTTCTTGCAGTAAGTACGGATGGAGTTAATGTGACAAAACTTACGTCTAACCCTATCATAATTGGAAAAGAATTTCAACCTGATTTCCGCGACCCTAAAGTGTGGAAACTCGGTGAAACTTACTACATGGTTTTAGGAAACTCCTTTCATGATGACGAAAGCAACAGTACACGCGGAAGAGCACTACTTTTTGTCTCTAAAGATAGAGAAAACTGGAATTTCGCCTCTGTTTTAGATGAATCTGATGGTTCACTTGGATACATGTGGGAGTGTCCAGACTTTTTCGAGTTAGACGGCCACTTTGTTCTATTATTTTCACCTCAGGGCATTAGACCGGCAGGTGATAAATATAGAAATTTATATCAAACCGGTTACATAGTTGGTGATTTCGATTACAATACGAATATTTTCACACCAAAAACCGATTTTATGGAACTAGACCACGGGCATGATTTTTACGCAACACAAACTATACTTGACAATTCAAAACGCAGAATAGTTATCGCCTGGCTCGATATGTGGGAACAAAAATACCCAGAAGAAAGGGATGGATGGACTGGTTTAATGACAATACCGAGAGTTTTGTCACTTACCAAAGAATATCGTCTTATACAGAAACCAATTACAGAAATCTCTTCTGTTAGAGGACGTTCTTTATACTCTGGAAAGGCACGAGCCGGTACAATCGTTACAATTGAAGATAAATCTGGCGAAATAAATATTAAAGCGCCAAGAGACAAAGATTTAAAATTAGAAATAATATCTTCAAATGAATCGAGCAAAGTAGTAGTCACTTATGACTATAAAAGAGGTCTAGTAACCCTAAACCGTGGCGGCAATGACGGTATCCGACGAACGAAATGGAGACCAAGTAAGAAATTAAATCTGAAGGCTTACATTGATGCTAGTTCAATCGAATTATTCTTTGGCGACGGTGAGGTGACATTTTCTAGCAGATTTTTCCCAGACGGTCCTGTGAAACTAGTCTTAGGCGAGGACAGCGACGTCGAGTCACTAAAAGTTTATGATATGAAACGCACTGTTTTCGTTAATCGTGATAATGAATGAAGCACTGCAAGTACAGAAACCAAAGGAGACAGAAATCTATTTTGTGATTACGAAAATATGCAATTAAAATATATAATGAAATAGAAATGAGACTTATCATTTAATATTATATTAGATTTAACGACTTTCCAGTTATTTTTATAAAGAGTAATACTTTTTAACCGACTTCAAAAAAAGAAGGAGGTTTCTCAATTCGACCGTATATATTTTTATTTTTTTATGTGTGTTCGCGGATAACTTCGTCGTTTATGAACCGATTTTGATGATTCTTTTTTTGTTTGAAAGGAGATACCCCAAGGGTGGTACCATGATAAGGAAACGGTGATGTCATCCCAGAGAAATCAAGGGCAATCCTCAAATGTTATACATATTAACAATGTTTTTAGTCAAAATTCGTAAAATAGTTTTTTAGTTTCTGGTTTGAAGTCGGTTTATTTTGTTAAAAATTATCTCTTATATTAAGTTTTAATATTACTCCTGGAACATATTATTGAAAGGTTAAAACCTTTGATGAATATCATAAAAATCATAAGTTTTTATTTCAGCCCGGTTTATATTAATTCTCTTGCACTCAATGAACTCTGTAAAATGTGTGCTACTTCTGTTTACCCCATCAATACGAAGTTTGTAGTTTAACGTAAAAAAATTGATACTAAAACTTTTTAAGGCTCTTAATGAAATAAACAAAAAAAGAAAAAAAATTAACATAAAAAAACTGTGTTCTATCATGACCGTTGTCATAAATAACACCCATACAATAGATACTTCACGCGAGAATGCCTGTATACCACTATCGTATTTTATTTCTAAGACAATTGGTCCTTAAGAAAATATACATTTTTGGTTTCGATTTTTTTTGATGTTTTTTCCCTTACACATACAATACTTTGTTAAAACAATAAGCAACCCAGACGAAGTCACGGGTACCAGCTAGTTTTAAATATCCACGATGATTTATTATGAACATATAATTTTGAGGATAAAGTTCATTAAACAAAATATTTCTAGGCATTTTTTGTTTATAACAGATAAAATACCTACAATAATTAACAATGTTGTCACGCTGTGGCAGAATTAAAAATAAAAATATTAAGAACTTTAACTTTCGCAATTGATCATATGAGACGAGTATTAGAAGGAATAACAGAAACTCCGAATTTGTTGTAAGTATATGGAATGTATAAATATATAAAGTCAGTGATTCGTTCTTCAACATTGCTTCAATTATTATGAACAAAGGATTAGAGTGGCGAAGACATCTGATGGGAAATGTTTCAAAAAAATAAATAAAGATATTTTACTATGATACGTTATTAAAGCAATTTATGAAAAACAAAGGAAGTTTAAAGTGTCACGAAAATGTCCGAATCTAATGTTTTTTTAATGCTTTAAACATTTTCTCAGCTTAAATAATAGAAGCTGTAAAGCAGTACAGTTTTTATATTGTCGTTAGCATCAAGCGGCACTGAGAAAAATACATTCATTGTTTATATTAAACGGAAGTTAGTTTCAAGGTAAGTTCGTAAAACATAGGTAACGCAAACGACTTACAAGAAATTACGCTTACGGTTAAAATGTATGTTAACGTTAAGTCTTTCGAATTGAGTTTTAATTCAAACATTTTTGAAAACGAACACATTTTTATCGGTGTTAGGGCCCCGCAGCAGCCTCGGGTGTTGTACGAATGGGCAGGCTCGTCCGGGTAAGTACCACGACCTCACAGAAGACCAGCGTAAAGTGGAAGTATAATACTTTCGCGTTTCGTCTGGTGAGTGAGGTGGCTGAAGCCCAAGTTTCGAAAGGTTGTCAACGCATCTGCAACCCTCCCGTGTAGCAGATGTCCATGAGCGGCGGTATTCGCTTAACATCAGGTGCTAACCGTCTGCTCGCTTGGCAACTTTTCACGTGAAAAAAAAAAAACACAGTACTCTTAGTTATGCGCCTCCACATGTTGCGAAACAGGTGGTAATGTGTATGTTTTAAGTTACTAGTGATAATGTTTATTTTTAACCGACTACGAGGAGGTTCTGCATTCGATCGAATTCTTTTTTCTACTTTGTTTTTGTTACCTCTGGTTCCGTACGGGTCCTATTGGTTTCGGTTTAGCCCTCATCTGCTCCAATATCCAATATTTGACATATAAGACATATGGGACATTTAAGCCACGTGGGACATGTAGGCGACTTCTCGGCATTGATTGAGATGTCGCTATTGCTATGATTTTTTTTAATAGTCAACTTCAAGTGCAGTGATTAGTAATCTCTGAACTTTCGTCCTTTTTCCCACAAATTTTAACTAAACTGATCAGTTTACATAAGCGACGAATTAATGATCGGTTAGTTAATACTAATAAATAATAATAACTAATATTTGTGGACAATACAAAGTCAACTAGTTTACGTCATTGACGTTACAATGCTCAGCCGAAGGATCCATCCATTCTCTATCGTCAGCTGTATCATTCATAAACCATTATGTAGCAAAATCATTAAAAGTCTAGCCTAGCTTAAATCTATAAGTATCAAATCAAATGAGAAAAACTTAATCATTCATGGCCTTTGTTATAAGTATCTTTAATTTGTGTATCCTTGCAATTATAATCAAACTCTAATGGTGTTAAATGAATCCAAAGTTCCATCTGAACTGAAGTGACAGTGGTTTTCGGCTAATTTTTCATCCCTTCAAAATCAGAAATACATGCCACCTTGTAACGATCATTGCTAAGAACTCTATCTAGTCTTAAGAACTTAACTGGTCTTCGATGTAGGTAAAAAAGCTTAGTAGTTTTGGCTTTTGCGAAAATTCACCTTCCATTTCACTAAATCTCTTTTTATACTCTTTTCTTATGAAACGTATTATATGTACTCGCGATATCTCAATGTCCTCCATCATGTCTTAATTTTTTTTTTTTGGGCTGGATGAGCCACTGTTGGCCTTTACAGATCCGACGAACTTGAGGTGGCGCACGAGGCGCCTAGCCTGAACCTCTGCGTACTATGCGTACTATTATTACGCGTTATGGTGACTAAGCTTGAGGGCTCCCGGGGGAGCCTCGGCTCGGGCCGTCACGCTATTATTATCACCGGTTTGGGAGGCCGCCAAGATCTTAGGACGCTTTGGCGGGCGCTCCATGGAGTAATCAGGCTCAAGGGTCCCCGAGAGGGGACCTCGGCTTGTGCTGTCACTCAGCACGAGTTTAGCATTCCGATTCAAGGGTGCCGGAGAGGGCCGAACCTCTGCTCGATCGGTAGCTATAATCTGCATACATTACTACCACTTCGGAGAGCCTTGGCGCTGGGAGAAGAAGTGGCGGAAGAAACTCCAGCAACGCTTCTATCATTAATAGGGGAAAACCTGCCAGGTACGTGGCGGAACCTAGTATAAGTTTGCCGCACTCGCCGGCGAGTGCGGTGTGTGTTGGTGTGTTTCTTGAGTTTTTTGATCCTTTCGATGGCGATAGTCGTCTCATCGTCAGGAAGTCGAGAACGTGACGCGGTCTTCGGTAATCGCGGCGGAAAATATTTAGCGGCAAGGGCCTGTAGGTGACGGCACCTACGATAAGTGGGTTGGGATGCGCGGCGGCGGAATCGAAATATCGGCGCGACGCCGACTTCAGGAATTGCGCGATGGTGGGCAATTCTAGATCGACATGTAGGTCGATATTGCGCATGAACCAGGGTGCTCCCGTGGCTCTGCGCAAGAATCGATTTTGAATCACCTGAAGCCGGTGTATTTGCTTCGGAGCAATGTGAGCGAAGACGGGGCTCGCGTACGTCATGATAGGGCGAACTACTGCCTTATATAAGGTCACCTTGTTCCGAAGGGACATTTTTGACGTTTTATTGAGGAGTGGGTAGAGGCGACCAAGTACGAAGGCCGCCAGGTTCCTGACCTGGGTCACGTGCTGGGTGAATTTAAGCTGGGAGTCGAGGACGACGCCTAGATACTTGACTTTATTAACCCATGGTACTGGGCTGTCCAAGAGTTTAACGGGGGGTGGTATGGGTACGTTCTTTTTGTGCGCGAAAAGGACGGCCGCGCTTTTGGCGGGATTGATCTCGATCCTCCATTGCCGAAACTAGTCACCGATGGTGATGGCCGCAGCTTAGAGGCGTCGATGGATCAATTCGGGTGTTCTGCCTGTGGTATAGATACAGGTGTCGTCGGCAAAAGAAAAGAGCAAGTTCTACATCTTTGACACGCGGCATGTCATTGGTGTAGAGAGTGAACAAGACTGGGCCCAACACCGACCCTTGGGGCACCCCGGCTCGAACGGGATGCGTAGTCGAACAAACGCCCTCGACGCGATATCGAAAGGTTCGATTCGTTAGGAAGTCTCGTATTATGCATACGAGACGGTCAGGCACTCCGTACCCGTATAGCTTGTATACGAGCCCGTTGTGCCAGACTTTGTCGAACGCTTTTGCCACGTCCAGGAAGAGTGCACCGGTGTTGAGTCCACTTTGGCGTTTGGTTAGTATGTGCTCCGTGATGCGGTGCACTTGGTGGGTACACGAGTGTTTGGCTCTGAATCCAAACTGCTCTGGGATGTGGAGCCCTTTGGTGTCCATAAGGGATCTTAAGCGGGCTAATATTAGTCTTTCAAAGATCTTCCCAAATGTTTTGAGAAGACTTATTGGACGATAT